AAAAAAAATGTGTCATCAATATTGTATAGATTTTAACCAGTTACAGAATGATTATTTTTATTCTGATGAACTTGATTTTGCTAAAGCACAAAATTTTAAGAAAAAATATTATAAAGTATTATCTTTAACAACAGAATATAATTTTAAATTGAAAACAATTAATACTGAAGAAAAATATCAAGAATTAATATCTATTGCAGCTTCTTTAAAAATGGAACTTCATCCAACAAAGAGTAATTTATCATTTATTATGGAGGAAGTTGAGGAATAAATTTTACTATTAATAAAGTCTAATCAGTTATTAACCGATTAGAATTTTAAATACGTAATTATGGAAAAGATTAATATAGCAATTTCTGGTTCTTGTGCATCAGGAAAATCAAGTGTTGGTAAATTGTTAGCAACAAAATTAAATTATCAATTTATAGAAACTGATTTATTTTATCAATATCTAGCGTCAAAAACATCAAGTTTTGATGAAAAAGAATTGATAAATATTTTAAATAATGAAGAACTCAAATATTTATTTCAAATTGACAACACAACACTTTTTTATAGAGATGGTATAAATAAACAAGCATTTGAGTTATCAAGAAATGATAATATTCGTAAAAAGATTAATGAAATTATTTGAAAAAATATGAAACAGAAAGGTTTTGTGGTGGTAGGTTGTGATTAAACAATTGATATTGATGCTGAAATTAAATTTTATTTAATAGCTAATTTTGAAACACATGTTGATCATTGACAAAAACAATTTAATTCAGAAGATTTGAACATGTGGTTAGATATAATAACACGTGATTCTTCTTCTTTGATTAAAAAAGCACAAAAAATATCTGATAATATTGATACAACATATCTTGAAATATCAGAAGTTGTTGATTTGATATTGAAAAATGTTTTTTACAAGTTATTCAGGATTTGATATGAAAAATATTTTAGGGTTTTAATTATTTTATTTGTTTTGTATTTTATTAGTTTTTTATCATTTTTTCAATAAAATTTTGTCTAGTTAGTCATTAAGACCAACTAGAATTTTTTTTATATAAGCAAAAATGACTAAAAGAAGAAGAGAAAATATTGAAGCTGGAGATGATTCTCAAAAGAATACTGATTCTCAAAAGAATACTTCTGAAGCTGAACTTAATTATTATTTTGATTTAAAAAATTATGAAGTTTCAAACGAAATTGATAATAACACATATAGCAAAGCATTTTTAGATAAACAAAAACGTTATGAATTTATGGAATTATATTTAATATATTTAAATGCTTGTGTTACAGAATATAATAGAATTATTCAAATGTTGCCTAAAAATCGTAGTGATTTTAATTTTTTCAAGGCAAAAAAATTCAAAGAAACTTTAAAAAAGAACAAAAGTTTTGCTGAATTTTCAGTAAAACGTTTAGAAACTGAGATGGATGAACTTGAAGAAGAAATTAATGAAGTAAAATAATTTTGTTGTATTATTTAATAAATATATATTATCTGTTTAGTCTTTGACCAAACAGAATTTTATTTACGTAAAAAAATGCATTTGCGAAACAATTTGAAAGAAATTTCTAAATCAAAATTTATGGTTGAAAGTGATTATAACTTTAGAACAGTATATTACAACGGTATACTTGTTCGTAGGAGTGAACGAAAGAGTAAAAATCCTGAACCAAAATATATGTTTAAACGTAAATATATCAGAAAGAAAAAATATAAATCTTCAATTTGTTCAGATTCTATTTATCAGGGTGATTTAGAAGATTCAGATTGTTCAAATTCAACATAAATAACTGATAATGGTTTTGTAGTTAAAGATAATTTTAAAAACTATCATTTTTCAATTCAGAAAGGTGATGAATTAAGATTTGAAAGAGAAGAAAGAAAAAAAGATTCTGATTATAAAGGAAAATACATAGTGAGTCAAAATGGTGTTGTTAATAATAATAACGGTATTAAGTTTAGTGATATAGATTTAAAAATGAATGATTCAGATGATGAATTAATTTCTGAGGAAAAAGCATTAAATTTAGCATTAAAAAAAAATAATTCTTGTTATATTTAATTAGTCTTAAGACCGATTAAAATTTTAAATACGTAATTTAACAAAATGGTATCTGAATACAAAGTAGCAAAAGATCAGTATAATAGTTTACTTGATTTTAATTCAAAATATTATACTTTTATTAATATTTTGAATCAAATTG